AAAACAAAAAATGCTGTTTGTTCTGAATAAAACTTACATGCACGCATGCAATTGTATGGTTGATTAATGACTGGTGAACACTGCTAATATCAGCAAGTTAGGAATTAATTCATATCCTAATGATAGTTTCATCTTGCATATCATACTTGGGCGTTTCTTCACTTTTATGACCCAGAAATTGATTTTATTACTTTATTTTTTATTTTTTTATATAGGAAGGTTGGACCAAAAAAGTCTGTTTTTACTACATTTTTTATCTTTCAAATGCCTTTTATGTGAATTTTGTTTTACCCTTGTACATCAGACCCAGCCTTTTAATATTTAAATATGAAAATCCATAATAAAAATATAAATTATTTTGTATTTTTTTTTGTATTAAGATAATCAAGAAATAAATAGAATTTCAATATTTATTGTGTGAAAATTATTTATATATATATATTTTGTTTCCCTTCAAAATGAGAGTTAAGAGCACGATTGAAATGATTAATATTCATGTGATAAATCATGGGATATGTGAAGGACACAAAGAAAAATCATGGTAAATATCACTTATAAACTGATTATTTTATTGTGAGTTTTCAAGCTGTAATTCAGCTGTAATCAAGCTAATCTCTAATCAAGCTGTAATTTAACAAATTGTGCAAAAAGTGTAAAAAATATTATTTAATTGTCTCTGTTTAAGATATTTAATTTGATATCTATGAAGCAGGACAAGAGGTCGGCCATTTTATTAGTGTAATTTCCACATGTTATGAAAACTACATTGTTGGTTCAGAAAAATGACGATTCAGAAATAGTGTTTCAATAGTGCCTACAGTTAAAGAAACAACCAATTTATCCTAGCACATCACTGATTGTGTGGTACTAAGTTACCAGTTTCTTGGCCATTTCCCTGAAGTCTGCAGGTATTCTTGGAAATCCTATTGTTGACTGGTTGACAGGCATCTCCATCATACCCTGGGACATTACTGTAAATAATAACAACACAAAACATTTATACTGAAATTAGTGACATTTTTGTTCATTGTAAGATGCTTCACAAAACATTGTCTCTTCTATTTAAGTTCCAAAACTATGAAATTAAAAAGTGCAATACTATTAAACCAGTTACCTGTAGTCCACTGGACTAGAAACGACAGGATCAAAACCTCTCTATATAACCCCATTTTGCTGTTCCCTGTTCTCTTTCTCCAGATGAGGCTCTATGGACATTCAATATGGATTTAGATTTCAATGAAATCATCACATTGCAATGACAGCACACAGACATTAAAATAACCATATTACATAATGCTCTTCTGCAAATACTTTATCTAAAATGGCAGCTTTATTATCTGCAATGGCATTATCTGACAGAGGTAAATCACAAGCGGACAATACAGACATATCTGATGACAAGCAAAACAGTTCCATTCAATTGCATCAATGTTTGCATAGTACAAAAACTTTGCATTATTTAAACATGCAAGAGCAAAATTAAACTGTAGATACTCAAAGCATCATGTCAAATATGGGATAATGTTTGAATAGCAATAAAATACATACAAATCACAAAGGATAAAATCACCAGAATATTACATTAAATGGAGATTTCTACTGCAAAAAAACAGAACAGCTTCCTCCCGTTTTGCGGTGTCCCTGTCCTATTTGTGTTGTTATTGCATAAACTTGCATCTTATGTTCCAATGTTACTATGGTTTTTGTAGGCATGCCAACTGACTCTCAGATACCGCCTATCGTTCCCTACATCTACCTGTGGGGATTTGGGATGAGTGCTAGGATACTGCCTGTGTGAGATCACTCTCCCTGGAATACGGCTAGACAAAAACAGCCTTTATTTCTGATCTAGAATAGCTGTATGACAAAGCAAATCTGTACAATGTAACTAATGATTGAGTTTCCTTCGATTTGAATAGCTTATTTGTTTCGGCCCTGCGGTATTATGTCGCTTCAAAGAATATTATCAATGCATGAACTGAGCACACATTTATGACAGATTTGACGCAAATGTTTTTCTTCAGTCTGCCTCAAAGTGAATGAACCATAGCAAATAAGATACATTAGGTTACCACAACTGACATCATTTTAGGGTGTTACAAGCAAGTAAAAATAGATCCTCAAAAGATTTTGATGTCATGTCACCACATACATACATATATTTATTATTTCTACTGCAAAACCCAGAACAATGCCAGTCCCTGTTTTGAGGCATCCCTGTCCTGTTTATTAATTTTAAGGGCTTAGTGCAAGTAAAAATACATTTTTAATACATCTTGATGTCACCAGCTTTTACAATGCACAAATCATCTAATAAAATCATTTTGAACAAATGTTCCTATAGATCGGGGTGGGCAAACTTGGCCCTTCCAGGCCACTTTCCTTCAGATTTAAGTTCCAAAACTATGAAATTAAAAAGTGCAATACTATTAAACCAGTTACCTGTAGTCCACTGGACTAGAAACGACAGGATCAAAACCTCTCTATATAACCCCATTTTGCTGTTCCCTGTTCTCTTTCTCCAGATGAGGCTCTATGGACATTCAATATGGATTTAGATTTCAATGAAATCATCACATTGCAATGACGGCACACAGACATTAAAATAACCATATTACATAATGCTCTTCTGCAAATACTTTATCTAAAATGGCAGCTTTATTATCTGCAATGGCATTATCTGACAGAGGTAAATCACAAGCGGACAATACAGACATATCTGATGACAAGCAAAACAGTTCCATTCAATTGCATCAATGTTTGCATAGTACAAAAACTTTGCATTATTTAAACATGCAAGAGCAAAATTAAACTGTAGATACTCAAAGCATCATGTCAAATATGGGATAATGTTTGAATAGCAATAAAATACATACAAATCACAAAGGATAAAATCACCAGAATATTACATTAAATGGAGATTTCTACTGCAAAAAAACAGAACAGCTTCCTCCCGTTTTGCGGTGTCCCTGTCCTATTTGTGTTGTTATTGCATAAACTTGCATCTTATGTTCCAATGTTACTATGGTTTTTGTAGGCATGCCAACTGACTCTCAGATACCGCCTATCGTTCCCTACATCTACCTGTGGGGATTTGGGATGAGTGCTAGGATACTGCCTGTGTGAGATCACTCTCCCTGGAATACGGCTAGACAAAAACAGCCTTTATTTCTGATCTAGAATAGCTGTATGACAAAGCAAATCTGTACAATGTAACTAATGATTGAGTTTCCTTCGATTTGAATAGCTTATTTGTTTCGGCCCTGCGGTATTATGTCGCTTCAAAGAATATTATCAATGCATGAACTGAGCACACATTTATGACAGATTTGACGCAAATGTTTTTCTTCAGTCTGCCTCAAAGTGAATGAACCATAGCAAATAAGATACATTAGGTTACCACAACTGACATCATTTTAGGGTGTTACAAGCAAGTAAAAATAGATCCTCAAAAGATTTTGATGTCATGTCACCACATACATACATATATTTATTATTTCTACTGCAAAACCCAGAACAATGCCAGTCCCTGTTTTGAGGCATCCCTGTCCTGTTTATTAATTTTAAGGGCTTAGTGCAAGTAAAAATACATTTTTAATACATCTTGATGTCACCAGCTTTTACAATGCACAAATCATCTAATAAAATCATTTTGAACAAATGTTCCTATAGATCGGGGTGGGCAAACTTGGCCCTTCCAGGCCACTTTCCTTCAGAGTTTAGTGCCAACCCTAATCAAACGCACCTGAACCAGCTAATCATTGTCTTCAAGACTACTAGAAGGCTACAGGCAGGTGAGTTTTATTAGGGTTGGATCAAATCTCTGCAGGAAAGTGGCCTGGAAGGGCCAAGTTTGCCCATCACTGCTATAGATAACGCACAATGATGTGATACTAAATAAGATTTTAATATGGTTACATTTAAGGGTTCACTGAAAACTCAGTCATTTATTTATATTTAAATATTTAAGAAAACAGAAATAAGCGAAAGCAATAAACTATAACAAGGACTTTTAAGATACAGTAAAAATGTGATGGAGGTACTCACTGTGAGCGATGATCTTGAGATGACACAAGTATACTGCAGCTGATAGTCTGCTCAGCAGGTGCACACTGGGTTCATTTCAACATGGTTTTCCTCTCAACCCCACCCAACACAGAATATGGGAGTCTGTCTGTGCAGGTGTGTCAGCTATATGAAATCACATGTGTGGTTTTGTGGGGACAAGATGTGACTTTCCATCACCTTGCATTTTTTTAAAGTGATTTGAAATAATCTAAGGCATGAAGTCACAGATTTATAGCAGTTGAGATTATTATTTGAAATAATACGCTAGACTGAACGTATTGCTTTTTAAGTACATGATGAATTATGTTGGTATAGGGGTTAATGAGTTGATGTACTGTTAAAGTCAGATGCTACATTAAGAGGACAATTAGATGTTTCTGTAAGAATGAGCAGTAACTTATTTGGTCCCTGGTGGCTAGTTAAGGCCAAAAAAGAAACTTGTCGCTTGTACAATAGTTCACCCTTGGGTGGTGAAACTAAAAAACAAAAACAAAAAATGTCAACGAATGGCCAAATGTCAAAAACAGCACTAAGTTGGACTGTTAAGTTAGACTTTAAGCTAAAAACTAATTTAGGATAAATCCATGAAAAAAATTGAATGGAAACAAGTAGCTTAAAATGCTCAACCAAACAGTTCATGCTATAAAACATAACAGAAATAATAATTAGTAATAATAATTAATAAATAGTAATTAGACCAAGCCCCAGCATGTCTGGACATACTTGAACAGAAAAGAACTGTTAAATTCAGCTTAATTTGCCTTTCATCTCTGTGGACTCATTTAGCAAACAAGCCTGGACTGTCCTCTCCCCTGATACACACACTAATGGTTGCTGATAATAGTATACAACAAAGATGCTTTCATGTATATGTAGGGATCAAGACAGAGACACATTGTATACTTTTTCTCTCTTTTATTACAAAACATTTTTCACTTATGGATATTAATTTGCTCCTGAATTTTCTTTGGCAGTCCTGGGTCACTGAAATGATCTGGAAAAAAAGAGATGTTGGCTATAATTTAAGAGTATAATTTCACACACATTATTATTATCATTGCAAAATCAAATAAGATGTTACGTGTTAAAAAAACAGAAGACTCGAGACACATTTCTGTCGTAATATACGCTCAACAATATTTTGAAGAACAATAAATTATTCAATCTAAGAACAAGACTATTTACATGCTAAATGTGAAGCATTTTATCAAAAGATTCTAAGTGGCTTGCACGAATGTGTGCAAATGTGTCTGATACTAATTACCTGCTGCAAATTCACGAATGTCTGTAGGCCTTTTCAGAAAAACATCCCTATTAAAAAGAGACAGAGAGAGAGAGAATGGATTAATATAAAAAGGTTGCATGATCTTGATGGAAATGTTTAAACCAACCTTCTGGGCAGTAACCCAACCGCTAGGTCAAAACAACCCAGTCGCTGGGTTTGTCCATACTTTACCCAGTGCTGGGTTGTATTTAACCCAGCATTTTTTTAAGTGAAAACATAAACATAAAGAAACAAAGACTGACCTTAAGAAGTCGCTGAGTAACATTTCCACCTCTGGATGAGACCTTAAATATTTTTCATTAGCTATCCGCGTCTTGACCTGGAGCATGTGAAATCACATATGTGAAGTTTACACTCTAAAAAATGCTGGGTTAAATATAACCCAGCGCTGGGTTAAAAAGGGACAAACCCAGCTATTGGGTTGTTTTGACCCAGCGGTTGGAGTCAAAACAACCCAATAGCTGGGTTTGTCCCTTTTTAACCCAGCGCTGGGTTATATTTAACCCAGCATTTTTTAGAGTGTAGGTTTTGCTTTAGAAAAAAAAAATCAATCACATTTCCCATACAATTTCTTTAATAAATGCCATATATCTAATGTTCTTTAGACCAGGTTAATTAGTAGAACTTCATCCAGCGCCAATACAATTTGCAGACTTTCAGCAGAAGAAAATGAAATACCTTGAACTGGTGCAGCTTCTCCTGCTGCTCGAGGCTTAAAGCGCCCAAATCGAGTTTCTCCAGAGTGTTTCTCTCCGCCATCTATGCGTCTCTGCGCTAGTGTCCCCAAGCACCTGATGTTGACGTGCGTCACGCATTCTGTTGCCAAGCAACATACACTTCCGTATGCACATATTTGATAAAAAGTCACTCAGTAACATTATGTTCACTACGTCAAATTCTCTAATTTTTAGCTTTCTATTGTTGCATTTTTCCTTGTAATCTACAGTTTTCCTATTATTAGAATTTGTGCTAACGTGATGTTTAAACTTGATTTGTGTGAATTGAATACAGTAGTGTTATGCAAATAAATATTTACATTTACATTTAGTCATTTAGCAGACGCTTTTATCCAAAGCAACGTACAAATGAGGACAATAAAAGCAGTCAAAACTAACAAAAGAGCAACATTATAGAAGTGCAAATGACAAGTCTCGGTTAGCCTAACTCAGTACACGTAGCAAGGTGTATATATATATCACACACACACACACACACACTTGTGATGCGCGGATGAGCTAAAACGTCACCCGAATCCGCAGCTTCAAATAAATTATCCACAATCCGATAAATCCGATATTACAAAACCGATATCCGATTATTGTAAAATGCTTAAATATCGGGAAAAATATCGATATATCGGTCGATCTCTAATATATATTATACACACACACAAAGAAAAACAAGTAGATGGAACAGAAAAAATAGCTGTTTTTTTTTTTTAAATAAAAAAAAGATAAATATAGATAAAGTAGAATTAAAATAGAATAGAAAGTGCTAGAGTTAGAGGGTCAAATAAAGATGGAA